ACACAGACTTGGAACCACAGCAGAATGCGGGAATCACAGCAAGGCATTCATTCCAGTGACAAATCCCAGAAATCAGCAGTGTTCTCAGTCTGTGTTTTTTGGCGGGTCATTACAGATTTAATTTTATTATTATTATTATTATTATTATTATTATTATTATTATTATTATTATTATTATTAAAACAAAACATTCATTACTTAAATGAAAAAGCGAGGCCGGCCGTCCCGGGTCTGGGAGCATTACCCAGTGTTATGCTTTTGACGGGACCCGAAGAGGACCCGAAACCTGGAGCTTCAGTCTTAAATCCAAAACCCTTTCTTTTTCTACTTCCTGAATAGTTTATAGCCTATCCTTCTGCTTAATGATGGAAACTAGTAAATTCCTCTACCCAAAAACCTAGCTTAGCTCCGCTTTAATGAAACCGGGAGATTTCGAAGAAAAAAAAACAGGAAAAAAAAGACACCTCGGAAAGTGTTTTTGTGTTAGCATTTTGTAGTGTTTTTGAGTTTTTTTTTTTGTTCCTTTCTGTTGTTTGAGGTGACGTGGCGAAAACGGCGAATTTTCAGCCCTCTCTGTTAACCATCTCTCCTCTCCTCCTTTCTGACTGTTTCAACAGCAACTTGAGCCCTCTTTCTCAATTTGAAAACGGCTGGCGCTTTACCTCTTTACGGAAGATCAGAGGCCGGAACATGTCGTCCATTGTATTTGGAGACACTGCCTGTAGCTTCGCCAGCACCTGCATGTTGTAAGATAGGCGAAGACCACCACGAGACAACGGTCAATGGCCCACCTGCATAGAATGTTGGACTCATCTAAAAAGGCAAGCCCTTAACCATAGGGATTCCTTCAGGCATTCCAGAGATAGAGGCATAGCCACTAAATGTTTTCTGTTTTCTCATTTTTAGGAAACAAAAAGGTACAATGATACTACAATCCATGCATAACCATGTTTACGATGACTGGACAACCTTCCCTCAGCCTGTGGCTTAGCAGCAGCCAGAGCCCAATGAGAGAGGTATCATCTTTAGATTGGACACTGGACAGCGATCTGAGGTTCCTTGAAGACAGGAAGAAAGAATATGTCAAAAGAAGGCACTCATGCATATGTATGCCGAGTTGGAACGATGAAAAAGCCCTGCGGAGTACACGCTTACAAGCAGCAAATGCCTGGTCCTCTGGAGAGCGCAGTTTTCCACGCTCTGCTGAAGTCATCTCTTTCATTCCCAACTCAGTAGGGATGGTACCGAGAAGGGCCCGAGAGTGTAACAAAAGAAAGGAAAAGGGACTTATGCCCTTAGGGAGTTTTCAAAGTTTCCACACAGGATAAGCATCAGCGATAGTGAGTAATAGAGATGTAAGGTTCACAAGCGAACACTGGGAGGCTCTTGCTGGTGCATAAACTCACAGTTTTGCAGCACAATGCAAGTACCATATTTTAAAGTAATTCATGTTTCATGTGGTGTGTTGTGATTTCCAGTTCTGCCGTCGTTATCTTCAAAATTAATCGTTTGCCCGTCGTTTGAATTATCCGGAAAATGGGCCACAGAATCTTCTGCAATGGTGCTCCCGGGACCTACTGGCAAATAGAGTCCAGGCTGAAAATGGCCAAACCGGTATGCCTAAATTGACCACAGGGTACCAGCACATTCCACACTTGTACCCTGCCAGGCTGCGGTCCCCTGGCTACGCAGGTTCCCTCCCTTCCCTCTCTCTTTTCACCATCCCCACCACAAGAGATCTGGTGATGCATACCTACGCAGGTGCACAGACTCAAAAGACCACAATGTGAAGGGAAAGACTTAGAAGTAGCAATGCAGAAAGGAATGAGGAAATGCGGATCAAAAGCAAGACAACACGAAGCAATATAGCACAACGTAAGTCTCAAATCATGATCCAACTCAAAAGACTTAGGACTCCATTTCCGCGAACATCATCACACATGTCGAAGCGGGTCGTGCACACATGGATGAAACTAGGGTCGAAGGTGGAAGAAGAGAAGAGGAGAAGACGGAAAGAATAGCCTGAGATCGCTGACAGTAGTCTCTCCCAACAATGTCCAACAATTGTCTCCTCCACGGTGTCGAATCTGAATCCTGGGCGGTAACAGGCCCAAAATATTCATCTCTCTCTCTCTCTCTCTCTCTCTCTCTCTCTCTCTCTCTCTCTCTCTCTCTCTCTCTCTCT